CTATTTTTTAGAAAAACATTGCTTGTAAATCTTACACTTTCCTTATCATTTATCATTTATAACCCTTATGAGCTTCTATTTATCTAATTTTTTTTTTAAGTTAAACAAAAAATATTAAATCACAACTAAAAAGAAAAAAATTAGATAAATACCTGGTGGGAAATCTGCTAGCGAATAGCTAGCGATATTCGTTACGATTAAGACACGAGAAACTTCAAGAGAACTATCAATTTATTATACAAAATGAAATACAAAGTTATTATTGGAATAAACAACAATGTACACTTCATCCTGTTGTTATATATTTTAAAGAAATTTCTAAAACAAATATTCAGCATAAGTCATTCTGTATTTTAAATGATGACAATGATCATGATACATGCTTTGTGTATGAATTTCAAAAGAAAATTGTAAAGTACATTAAAGAATATTTTGTTAGTGTCAATAGAATTTATAATTTTTCTGATGGATGTTCTTCTCATTATAAAATTTATAAAAACTTTATAAATCTATCCCACCATAAGGAAGATTTTGAGATTACAGCTGTATGGGTATTTTTTGCAACCAGCAATGGAAAATCTGTATGTGAAGGCATAGGTGGTACTGTTAAAAGAATAACAGCAAAAGCAAGTTTACAAAGACCACTTAAAAACCAAATATTAACAGTTGATGATATGCTTGCGTTTTGCATCACCAATATAAACACAATCATATTTTATAAAATTACCAAAAAAACGATTAATGCAAGGCGACAGCAACTAAATAAGGAAAACTGTTCCAGGTAGCAGATGTTATTAACATTACATACCCATTTCAAAACTTGAAATTAGTTTTACAAGAATAAGCAAACATCAATGTGTTGACATATTTATACTGTCAAAAGCAGTAATGTCTGATGTTGTAATAGTACTAAATCTAAATGATTTTGTTGCATGCAAGTATGATTCCTTTTGGCGAATAGGCATGGTTACAGAGATAGATATTACTACAAATGGTATTCAAATTAAGTTTATGTACCCTCATGGTCCTTCTGGCCACATGGCCACAGAGAGATGATATCTGTTGAGTACCAGTCCCAACAACAAAATCATGTTGAACATATAACATTGATGTGAATGATTACAACACAATAACTAAAAAACTTTAATTTTTTTGAGTTCCTTAGTTTTTAAATTTTGTATATTCCTTTTTTTCCTTGAACTTCTTTCCAAGTGCTCTATTTGTTTTGGAGTCTTTGCTTTTTAAGCTTATTTATCTTAGTTTGATAAATATTAAACTAAAGTTTTATAAGTAATATATTATATTTGAAGATGTTTTTCCTTCTGTTTGATTCTTTGTAATAACTCCAATTTAGCTATTTAATACAACTTCTGAAAAAAAAACTAAATTTGCGATATACATCTGCATTTATATAATTCTCCCCTTTGAAACTTAATTTTTTAGAATCAGATTCTATGAAATTACAAAGAAAACAGAAACAGCTAGTCAGCAACAACTAAAAAAACAGTTTGATGTAGCCAAAACTGTTTACAAAACTGTCAAATAACCACCTTTTTTTTCTCGTTTAATTATTTATCAAAATACCTGTTTTTTAAGCAATAAATTTAAGTAGATTTGACCATGTTTTTATTTCTGTTTTAGAAAAGACCACTCTCCAATTCTTTGTAATAACTATTTATTACTTACTAATCAGGACAACTTCTTTAAAAAAAAAAAAAATCAAACTACGTTGGCATTTTTGTGATTGGACTTGCCCTAGTAAAATTGTGTTAAATGTTTTAATTTTAGGTGTTATGTTTGTTTTTAAATATTTTAAATTGTTTCATTGGATTCATTGGCCCAAAATATGTAAAGGTACAAATTTTCAGCTTTCTAATACACATATAACAAAAACTAGGACCAAAACCATTATTAAAAATGGTGGATTTTTGTTGGTTGGAGGCAAACTTAAAATAGCTATATCTTAGGAACTGATTAAAATTAGATAATAAAATCATCAGGATGTTCAAAATTTACTAAAATCTTTAAGTGGTTTAAAAATAAGCAAAATCTGAGACTTAGGGTTACATGTCCTGGATGTTTTCACACGGAATCGCCCTACTATGATTTTACATTTTGTTATATTATCAATAATTTTCCGAGTCAATTTGGTTGTTTTATTGCTGGAATATTGTATTTAATACTCATTTTTCTAATTTATCTTTACGCAAATTTTACAAATGTTTATAACAATTTAAATAAAAATTCCTAAATAATTATAAATAGTTTGCAAATAAGTGCAAAGTTTTAATCAAAGACAAATGAAATTTTGAAGCAAATTTGAAATAATAGAGTGGATTGTTAATTTTGACCATAATTTTTATAGATTACATAGTAAAGATTAAATGTCAAAAAAAAGCAATATAACTAGCACATCAAATAATATTTTTATGAGTATCTACATTTATTTAAAAGAAAATAAAATAAAAATTTTTTATATTTAAGAAGAGTCAAACAATCATTGATTTAATATCAAAAACCAATAATATCAAAAAAACATGTTGGATTGTTATTAATGGCCATATATTATATTATATTATATTATATTATATATATATATATATATATATATATATATATATATATATATATATATATATATATATATATATATATATATATATATATATATATATATATATATATATATATATATATATATATATATATATTTATCTTAAATATTGCAAATTAGTCTTGGTGCTATATAAACTAGCAAAAAATTTATTCCAATCTCTATTTCTTTGGCAGTTAAACCTCTACACTTTTACTTAATATTGATAATATTAGCCAAGAAATGAGCTGAATTATTACATCCTTTATTTCTTTGTTTAACTGCTTCTTAGCATCTTGACTAAGCATAGGTTTCTATACCATCATGCTTTTTTCATGTTTCACCATTTTCATGCTAAACTCATCATGTTTCTATGCCATCATGCTGAAAATAAAAGTTCGTTTGAAGGTTTAGTATTCTTTTACTGTTACTAATAGTTTAACTTCCCTTCTGCATCAGGTCCAATCAAGAAGCAGTTGATTTATTAATTTGTAGGAATTCATTAGTACACCCATTTATACAAGGTTGCAATATTTGCTTTGTTTTCTTTACAAATCGTTAATAGAACAGGTCAGTGTTTTCTTCAGGATTTAATGCTATTAGCCAATGCATTCCATCTGACTTTTTTAAGGCATAAGTTGTAACCCACTTGATCCTTTATATTTGAAATTACTTGAAAAAGATTAAAATTAATCTAAAATGCTTCTAAATGAATGATTAATTGATCAAATGACTGAATGAGCTACCTCTTGAATACTTTTTAATTAATCACATTTTTAAAACATTTGCTACATTATCAGTAATTACATTGGAAACTTTATAACCAAAATTTTTTTTGCATTTATGAACACAGGCTTGAAAATAACATCAACCAAAAAGTATGAGAATTTATTGATTCTATCTACAACTAGTTACCTGAATTTGTTGTTGTTATTGTTGCACTAATTACAGATTCATTCTGGGCATTCATAACTTTCTTTACCCATCAATACTCATGATTATGGATTTATAATGAATCAAACTTGAACAGCTGGTTAGCCTGATCTTGTGAATAGTGTTTAGCATTGCATCCTGAAACATTGTTTCTTGTCTAGGATAATGAATGCTGGATCTTTTCGATTCTATTAATGCTTGTGCCTTCTAAGCAGTAACTATGCAACTTTATCTGTTGTTTTCTAATCAGGGTACAGCTTTAATACACATTTTAATAGTTCTGAGGTTTGAAGTAAAGATTCTTGAAGCTCTCAGAGAGGTTGAATCTATTAGCAGCTTTAAAATATCAGAGTATTAACTGAACCATATTGTACATTTTTTTTCTTTTAAATCTCAACTTAACTAGTGATTGCTTGCAGTCTTGTTGGGAGTAAATTCTTTGAAAAAAAAAGTTTTATTAAATTTTGTACTTAAATATACTTTTTTTTATATTAATTCACCTCAAGTCTGAGAAGACCACTACAGACAAGGAGGCTACTTAATTGTGGTTATAACCCTCTCTCAACTCTATAACTCCAAAACATGAACCTTGAAGAACAAGGCCGCTACACAGAGAAACAAGTTGAACTTATGTAATTAAATTTCTTTAACATTGAGAAGTCACACATACTTTGTAGGGTAGGGAATTTTAACTCTGATTTATATGAAAAAATCAAACAAATTTATGTTCTGCTACAAATCTATAATAAAGATAAACTTTATTATAGATTTTTTAGATTTAGTAGTAAATTGCTTAAAAAATATACACCTAATTTGTTACACCTAATATAATATATAACACACACCTTACACACCTATAATATACACCTAATTTGTTTGATTGTTAATTCAATTCGCTGTGTCTGTGTAGCCTTCACATTTTAAATCTAGCTCAGTATTATTTTGTAGAAAAAGTATATGTTGTTTGTTTAAATTTGTATTTTATAAATGCATTTAGCAACCTCTCTCCTAATCCTCTCCCAATACTTCAACTCTGAAGCTTTGATAAAAAAACATGCTCTATAATAAAACAGTTTAGATGTGGTACTACCAGAAGTTCAAACCTTTTGCTTACAAAACAACACTGATGCACAGTGATGCTTAAACCTTTTGCTTACAAAACAACTACACATTGATGCGCAGTGATGCTTAAACTATAGATGCAAAAATAGTTTATTTTGTTTTATTTTGAATATTACTTAAAAATTTTGAATGATAGTATTTCAATATTTTGTGAACAAAACTTCTTTTAGGCTTGCTTTTACAAAATTTTACGAATTTTAAAAATTAAATAGTGCATATTAGACAAGAAAACTTATCAAAACATTAAAATAATAAAATCAGAACTATAAATTAAAAGAGTAATTAAAAGTTTGAAGATTTTAAGTTTTTCTCTTTTTAAGTTTTTTTTAAAGTTAAATCTCTTTTTACTTACTGAATCATCGATCCAACCATTTTCAATTTGATTTTCATAAACCTAAAAAAAAAATAAAAAAAGTAAATAAAATTAAATGATAAAAATATAAATTTAAAAACTCAACTTTCAGTTAAAAAAATTTAAATGATCATTTCCTTGAAACCAAGAAGATTCATAAAAACTAAATAAAGTAAAATTAGTGATAAAAATTTTACTATAAAAGTTTATTTACACATTTATTGTTGAAATTTCTTTTACATTTTTTTAATTTAATATTTTTTGCAATAAAGTTTACTATTATTATTATGATTATCATTATTATTAATAAATTACTTACAAGTGATCCATTTCCACTTGTTGCTTGATATAACATACAAATTATTTTAGTCTGTTTTCTGTTCATCCATTGTACAAATAAATTACTTTCACCGTTCCAAGCTAACAATGAGTAGTAGTAATCACTAGAAGATAAAATCATTCAAAAATAGTAAAAATGAATAATACACAAAATGTAAAAAAATAATATAACAATACCATAACTTATAAGCAAGCAATACTAAACTTTAATTATGTTAATATAAAAAGTTAATAAAATCTACACAAATTCTACAATTAATTTTAACATTAATTAAAAAAAATGTAATTTAAAAATATATATATATTTTATTAAAGTTAAAAATTAAAAATATTTTGTTGCTTTATTAAATATATATTTTTTTTATTTTAAATATTTGAACTAGCAAAGTTAAAAAATAATTTATTTACCTATTTTATCAATTTGTAATTTGCTTTTACCTAATCATAGCCACCATAGTTTCAGGACTTTTTCAAAAACTGTTCTCATGTCTTTTTATAACTAGTCATGTATACTTACTTAAATTAGTATTGTATTGATAAAAAAAAACGTTTCTTTAACTCTGAAACTTATTTAAATTCTAATTAATAAGCTTGTAGTCTGATACAATTCTGATTGATCTAGTGCAGAACTAGTAAAACACAAAACTTGACAACTAAGGCTACTAGCTCAAAATATCTGTTTGTAAAAAGTTTATTCTTGAAGAACATTTAAAATAATTTGCAAAAATTATTAGTAGTGAAAATTATATTTTCAAAAGAAAAAAACGAAATACATCTTTAAAACTTAGTTCATATATTTTACATATTTAGGTATTTGTACATAAAGATGAACATAAAGAAATTTAACCAAAATAAACTACCTGATATTCCTAAAATAAGGGGGTGTAATGGTGACATTTTTGGAACCAATGTTTTCTAAGTCAACTATAGTTATTTTTATTGACGGGTTGGGATATCCAGCCTAAAAAAACATTTTAAATTTATAAAAGAGTTTTTAAATCAACTAAAACCATGAACAATTGGGTAACTTGCAATTAAAATTTTCTTCTGATAGTCATTACAAAAAACATAAAAATTAGGAACAGCAACTACAAAAAATAAAATTAGAACATCATGTGTTGTTTGGAATACCATAAGTTTTTAAGCCACTATGTTAATTACTGTGCAATTTAGGGATATCACTCCCTTGTGAGTCTAAATAGGATAAATCTGATAATTTAAAACTATTTTTGACTAGTAATTAACAATTAACCAATCCAGCTTAATCTAAAAAGACCTTCTGTATGTTACAATACAATGAGGTTTAAAAAGAAACTTAAAATAGAACCATTAAAAAAAAAACACAGAAACTTTAAGATTTCTAATTTTTTTTTTTAAAGATTATTTTAAGAAGTTATGGACAATTTTGAAAAATTTTCTCAATTTTTAATTGATGAACAAGCAAGATTAATGCATATAAATAAAAATTATTTTATATATTTTTAATATATATTTATGTTACATATATCATGTTTTATTATTAGACAAATGCAAAAAAACTTTTTATATGACAGGCATGAACTTGCAAATAAAAATTTAGTAACTTTTATTTATTGAACAAAGCTTACTTTTATTGTCAAGGAGTTCAACTTATCAATCTTCAACTATCTTATCAATTGCTCATGTAATTTATCAAATTACATTCAGTAAAATTAGAATATTGGCTTCATTCTACTAATTGGTAGAATTCAGCAACTCTAAATTAATTTAGATATTTGAATAACTAATATCTAAATATCTAAATTAATTTTAAATTGAAGGCGTTATTTCTTTAAAAGTCTATACTCCTTAGGAAGAGGGAGGGGGGGGGCACAAATATCTGGGACCTATTACAACCACGGATCATCTATAATAAAATTGAATTTAAAGAAATAACACTTTCAATTTAAAATTAACATAGATATTTAGATATTAAGTCTCTAAATATCTAAATTAATTTAGAGACCTTCATTTAAACCATAATGAAGGTTTTTAAAAAGTTTCTGCCCCTTTATTTGTGCCCTTATCTACTATAAAGATCAGATCAAGGAGATCAAGGCAAATAATCATTTCTTTCTTTTTATTAAGAAATTACTTATAACAAGCCTTAACAGGAGACGAATGTGGCCATACGCCTTGTTCA